CGGCCTGGTGGGCCACTTGGCTCGTATGCAGACATTACCTTTTACCTACCCTGCCTGGATGGGACGCTTGTCCATCGCAGGGTTACTCCTCCGCATTAAAATCTCCAGTACCCATTTATACACCTAGGTGGAGAAAGGCACGATGAGAATAAAGTGTCTTGCCCAAAAACACAACACAATGTCCCTAACCAGATCTCAAACCCAGGCCTCTCGATCCGGAAGTAGAACCAAGTATATTTTACCAATCGTAAAGCCGCAGCCCGGGGGGAGGCTCCACCAGAGAAGGGTTCCTTTTTTTCAATTATAGATATATGAAAGGGGCACCTTTCCTGTCAAAATGGTATACATGTACAAAAGGGTAAGGAGTTGGACCTCAAGGCGGAGCATTCCCGTATAAAACTTTGTAGAGTTCCCCCCCCCCCGGAAGCCTTGGCTTCTCCCAGAAACCCCTGTTAGTGTCAATGATTTTATGTTTATCTCCATAACATACAAAACGTCACTTTTCCTTGCAGAAGCTACAAAATATAACGTGTTACCTTTAATAGCGCGGTACGGTGACCACTACGACCACAATTAAAAACCACGATATTTTTCGCTGATGTCATCAGCACCTGTGTAGGTGAGCAAACCGACGAGTCCTTTTAATGACAAAAAGAAAATGAACATATATCCTTTTAGGAACTAGATATCAGACGCAAAAATTTTATTTGGGTGACTTTAAGTATATAGAATAATTATTTAATGGAGAATAAGTCTACAAGCCTACTTCTACCGCTTTATATTAATTGCACAATACATTTTTGTACAGCGCTCCGTTGGCAAATAATTTTTTGTCCGTGCAAGAAAGATTTAAGCGTCCCATTGCGCTTAGTGTGAATTCCACTAACGAGGAATCTCATTTTTCATGATTTGTTGGTGCAAAACGCATGCATTTGCCAAACGTTCTACAGGCACTTCCTGAAAAAAAAAATACATATAGAAAGTTTCAGTGAAAAAATGCGACGCAAGGCGATATGTGCAACTTTCTGAACTTATTTACCGGGCAATACGGCTTAAGAGGTGTAAAGTTATTTCATGGTATTTATTAGGATATTTTTGTGCAAAAATTTACCCAATTAAAAATATTGGATTATATTAATTTTAGGAGTTGGTCCTATGGCAAAACCTAACCCACAACTTGCTGTGTCACACAAGATATGTGTTTTATTTTTTCTGATGTGACAGATAACTATAAAATAAGCAGTTATTTCCTCTGGCGGCAAGCACTTAAGGGCCTTCTAACCTTAGACGATAAATATTTTATTACGTTGAATTGGATCAAGGAGAGGTCCTTATGAAATGCGGATATTTAATAACCTTGGTTAAAGAACTTATGTAAATTTTGATTATCTCCTTTCTTCATTGCTTCCCTGTTAATTTATTTGTCAAATTATTTAACTGATGCGAAATGAACCTAATAGTTTACGTTTTATCTGTATTCATTTAGTATTCGCTCGAAATGAACGCCATATTCCCTGAATAGAAGTTATGATGGTATTTTAGCCATAAGCCGCGATTTCGCTGATAAAGCCGACGACAAAGCCATGATCATAAGTTAAAATTGAGATGCATCATTTAAGAGAGTTATTTTGCTAAGGAAGTTGCGTGGTTAGCTCCGATATTGCACAGCAAAAGGTAAGACAAGTCTCTTGATATTTGAAGCTTTGTAAATACAGAATTTACAACCGATACGATCAAGTAAAGTCGAACCTACTAACAATTCTGTTTACGAACGAAGTCGAGGCAAAAAAAGATGCCTTAAACTTATAATCTAGCGTTAAATTTTTAAGCATTACGAAGCTCGCTAGTTGTAGTAACATTATAATATAATGTAATCTTCAGAAAAAAATCGCAAAAAATTTCGTTTACTTAACATTGTAAATTGTAGCATGCGAAACGAATTTCTTTGGTAAAAATATCAGTAGAATCGTTGTTTAAAATTTTGCTAGCGAAACTATTATATATTTTGCCATGTGTTGGAGCTTATACATGCCGAAATCGTTTTTGTATCGCTTTTCGTAAGACCACAAATAATGCATGATATAAAATTAGAGCCGGTGTTTAAAAGTATAGAAGTGCAAAGTTTGGAATTTATTACATCTTCTAAACGTCACTTTCAGCGAGCAGGAAGTTTTCTATGTTTTGCTCTTGTTCTCGACCGAATAAAAGCCGTTGTAGATAAAGTTCAACTTCCTGTAGACAAATTGGAGACACAGCATTTAAGAAAAATTCCACACAGCCCTTCCCAAATATTTTATTATCACAACTAACGAAGCAGTATTTTCAATTACCCAATCAAATTGCGGAAGACGCCACTGAGGTAACACATGCAGTAATAAGTCAAAACAAATATATTATTAGCCAATCAGATTAAGAGGTAAAGCCCAACCGTCTCATGCTTTAAGGAGGTTTGCCCGCTTATCACCAGCCAGATACTTTTACTTCCAGCTCTCAATGGTTTATTTTACATCAACTGTTGACGTCATTGCTGGCTTGGTAATCAAATTTATCACACCCCACACGGTCCCGCTGACGTAATAGCCGTATTTACCTGATGCGTGTACGTAGGTAAATACGAGACACACTCAAAAAAGAGAAAGGCTGTTCTGAGAGAAAATGTTAGTCACTTGATTACAATAGCCCATTTCCGAGTTGCCCTAAGCCTCTTTATCAAAGCGAGGCCTGGTGCACAACCATTCATATGAAAATGAGTTTAATTTGCATGTGAATGAAATCTCATTTTCATATGAAAGGATGGGCACCAAAACTAGCTTTGAGAAAGAAGCTAAAGGTAATTCGGAAATCGCCTATTGCAATGAAGTAATTTTCAGAGTAGTAGAGGAAGAAGAGATGTATATTCATTTTAAGATTACCAAGTGACCGAGTGGATATCGAAATTTGGAATTTTCTGGTGTTAACCGGGAACTCTGTGTTGTATCTTGGGATGGGTATCTTCCGAGTTTTTCGTTTTTCAATTTCTGGCACTAACTCTTGTTTCTTGTCTAATTAAATGCACCGATTTCTGATTCCATAGAATGAATACCGGTCGCTTTGCAAGAAGATGCTTAATGTTGCTGCTTTGTATGGTAGACTTTGGCAGTTGGTAAGTATGGTCAACATCTAACTTCCTTTTGATAATATCAATATTCAACAGTACATTATCAGGACATTATAAAATAAGAAACCTTATTGCGATAAAAAGACAAATTTTATTTAGAGCGTTTGTTTCTGCAAGTAATTTCAATTCTTTCACTGTAGTTTCATTTTGATTATGCTGTCACAATGAATAATAAACCATAAAGAAACAAGGATGGTTAAGGATGGAGAAGATTGGAAAATGGGAAAGTTGAGACAGAACGTTCGATAGTCCAACGCGCTATAATAAGGCCACCGCGCTTGCAACTTATCTAGTACATTGAAAATACTTTTTCAATCCCAAGGAATTTGGCCACACTCAATGTCCTTGCATGTTTCCTGAGTAACGTTTAATTCTCCCAAACTCAACAGTTTTCGTGACGCCTGGCAAGAAGTGTCGATTCCAGATCTCCTTAGACCTCGCCTTCGGCTTCGCCCACAGGAGATCTGGGACCGAGGTTAGATTGCGCATTTTAGCTACCTCCTGTTAGCATGGTATTTGGGACGGACCATTATTTTTGAAGGGGCTGGGGGTTGGGCAATGACCAAAAATGAATTCCTGCGTAACAGAAACTACTGAAAAAAAAGCAAGGGGACCTACTGTTGATCCCAGACGTTTGTTGAAATGGCTCTTTTTTTCAGGCCGTCGCACGTACATTTCTTTTCATCTGTGAAACCTTTCTTTCAAGTGATCACATGATGACAAATTTTATGATCGTTTGATAACTGAATCTCTGTCGTGGGGGAAGTGCTTCACACTTTGTTTGCAAGTTTGTTGAGTTTCGCACTTTCTAGAAGATTTCGACAGATGCAAAATCAATCGCATGGGTAAGATTTTACTCAAATTTGATACTTTTGAGAAATTTGCAACAGCTGTGCTGCAAACTGTTGCTATCCGCGCCAAGAAATTTTTGTCATCACGTGATCACTTTTTTTGAATCACGTGCATGAAACCAACGGTGCGTGAAACGGCTTGAAAAAAAAAAAAAACATTTCAACAGACGTCTGGGATAAATAGTTTGAGACAAAAATCGAGCAAGTGGTTTTACCTATCCAGGTCCTGGGTTTTTTTGCTCTCTTTTGGCCACCCAAAACATCAAGCACAACTAAAGCTGAGAAAAACTCAATTGCCCAATCCACCACCCCCCACCGCCCCACGCCCTCAAAAAATCAATGATCCGTCCCTTAAAGTCTGACATTTACATGTCTTTGCTTTCATAACAGTAAAGAAGAAGCCGACATAGACAGGACAGAAATTGCCAACGGTACAGCCATTCTAAATGAGCGTCTTAGAGAACGAAATTATGATACAAACGCCAGGCCTGGCGCAGGAGAAGGTAACGCTATTAGTAACCCTTGCGTGACACCATAGGAAAAGATAAGTTGTATTCTGTTTAAAGGCGAGGATCTTCTTTAATAATAATATCATTAATATCCAGGGTAAACTTTAATGTGGAGGTAAATTTTAATGTGGAAGTCAACGGTAAAGTGTTCCACAGTTGATGAAAGCGTGAATATACAACCCCAAAAGAGAATGCCCCTTTTGTGACATTTCAAACAACATTTCTATTTAACGCTCAAGCTTTCGAAAGAAACAGATTAACATTTTTTCCACGCTGGTACGCTTCGGCGGCAAATCGGGCGACTTTGGTTTGTATGTTGGCGAGATGCAGTTGAGCCAAAACACCCATGGTGAAGGCCGAACAAGCTTGATATATCACCAAAGGGTACCAAAAAGGTACGATTAGGTATTTACCGTGCCCAAATCAAGATATCGTGGCCATATCAGGCCAGTGACCTGACATCGGACAGTAGACGCGGCTTCTAATTGGTTAATTGCGAATTTGGGTCCGGTAGTGATAAAACTAACATAAACAATACAAATAACCATGTCGACATTAAACTGTATTTCTTTTAGGTGTTTAATAAGGTTGCTTTGTATTAGTTCCCATTGGGATAATCAGGCCTTTACATACCACTCCTTGTGAATATCTCACCACTCGACGCCGACCAGTTTATTCGAGGCTGTTTTTTTTCGTTATTGTTTATATCGTTGTTTAAAATAGCGTGTGACATTTTCTTATATTCTTTGGCTTGTAACCTGTATTCAGCGTGTCTCAGATTCTTGTAAATAAAGTCGATCATTGCTGGTGGCTCCCTCCACTGTTTGTTGTATTACCTGTCTCCTCTACTTATAATAAAAATGTTTTCTATTCGGCTGAGCGAAGCGAAATAGAATAGTACATTTTCTTATCGTATCATTTTAGAAAGTTGTAAAATGATAGGCTTTATTGTGTGTTTTTGATGACCAAATTTATCCAGTACGATTTGAATTTGCTTGAGACGATGTTTTTGATTGGCAGATACTTTTACAAAATGAGTGGAGAGAGACACCAAAATGGGCCAATTTCAATATATTAAAATTCTTACTTGGCTCCGAGGCTTAGGGGAATAAACAAAAGAAATTAATTATTCATCCCTCATCCTCGATGCGATTTCTTTTGTTTTATTACCCCTAAGCTTCAGAGCCAAGCTAGAATTTTAATATATCGGAATTGGCCCACTAGAAGGTTTTGTCAGCAAAATGTGTCGACAAAATTTCCAGTCGTAGTTTTCATTTTTCAAGGAAGAATTTATTTGATTTTCAAAATTAAAACATTTTTTTCAAAAATATATTTTCAGTTACTTATCAAATAACTTTGTCGCGAACTTATTGATACTGATGGCGTCAAAATTGCCAAGAATCACGAGTCCAGGATTTTTCCTTCCCCCTTCAAGGAGCAGGTTGTTCCCCCTAAATGTCCAGTTTCGTTGCTTCGAAGATATACCGTGAAAAATGAATAACAAAAACAAAAGGTAATAACATTTCAAATGAACAGATGAACATCTTTCTTCCGTCAGGCAAGCCCGTTAAAGTGTGGCTCAGTATGGCTATTCAATCTTTTACAAATATAAAGGAATCAAATATGGTAAGTCCTCTAGCATGATTCGAATACAGTAGTGCCAAATGATTTATGAATGGATTCATTTGCCAGTCAGTCAGTCTGCAGTCAGTCAGTCAGTCAGCAAGTCAATCAATCAGTCAGTCAGTCAGTCCGTCCGTCAGTCAGTCAGTCAGTGTGCAAGTCAATCAGTCAGTCAGTCAGCCAGTCAGTCAGTCAGTCAGTCGGCCAGCCATCCAGCCAGCCAGCCAGTCAGTCAGTCAGTCAGCCAGTCAGTCAGTCAGCCAGCCATCCAGCTAGCCAGCCAGCCAGTCAGTCAGTCAGTCAATCAGTCAGCCAGTCAGCCAGTTAGTCAGTCAGTCAGTCAGCCAGCCAGCCAGATTCGAATACAGTAGTGCCAAATGATTTATGAGTGGACTCATTTGCCAGTCAGTCAGTCTGCAGTCAGTCAGCAAGTCAATCAATCAGTCAGTCAGTCAGTCAGTCAGTGTGCAAGTCAATCAGTCAGTCAGTCAGCCAGTCAGCCAGCCAGCCAGTCAGTCAGTCAGCCAGCCAGCCAGCCAGCCAGTCAGTCAGTCAGTCAGCCAGCCAGCCAGCCAGCCAGCCAGCCAGTCAGTCAGTCAGTCAGTCAGTCAGTCAGTCAGTCAGTCAGTCAATCAGTCAGAGTCCGGGTCGTTATTTTTTAGCGGCCTTACTTTAATCAGGGATTAATCATATTTTTCACAGTTATCATCAAACTTAACTAAATAAAAACACTTTGTTTCTTGAACACAGGAATTCACTACATCAATGTTTTTGCGTCAAGAATGGATTGACATAAGATTAGCACATGGTCTGGATGGAACATTACCCGTGAAAGGTAAAGACTTGCAGAAAATATGGCGTCCAGACACGTATTTCACTAATAACAACGACTACAAGTTATATGAGGACAATCAACTCGCTCTGATATCAAAATTTGGTTATGTCTACTACAGTGCAAGGTGAGTACAGTGAGTTAAGCTAGTCAAACTTTGCTATACAAATAAACAAACAAACAAACAGAGAAACGAGGACACAAACAGATAAAGACACAAAGGTAACAGGTGGTAGGCGCGGGGAAATCACGTAAGCCAAATGACTGACGAATTTTGCTCGATTGACTCAACAAACAATCGAGATCCCAGGCTCTCTCTCATTTGCCTCCATAAGAGAGAGAGAGCTTGGGATCGAGATTAAACAACGACCTTCCATTTGACTGGCTAGTTTGACACGCTGAATTAGCCAATCATATTGCTCAGATTGTTGCGCTTGCGTCTACCTTTCGTCTGTCCCGTCCTGCGCCCATAGATGCCTAAGGGGTTAATTCGTAAAACCTACACCTACTCTTTAAAAAGTGTACTGAGTGGTAGAATAATCACGTTAAATTGTTACTGCCTTTTCCAGGTTATTTGTTGTTGCATCGTGTCGCATGTATTTGCAAAAGTTTCCAACGGATGTACAGAAATGCAGTCTAATTCTCGAAAGCTGTAAGTACAATGCAGTTTATAATGCTGTACAAGGTGATTCTAACTTTTAAGTCTGAGGATGAAACCTTATGTGCGACTATTTAAATGAAAGCTATTGAGCAGTACTTTCATGTGATACTGTTTATTACGATGTGCAAGGTGATGCTGACTTTTAAGTCTGTGGATGAAACCCTAGTGTGTGACCATTCAAATGAAAGCTATTGGGAAGTACTTTCATGATGTACTGGTGATTTTGACGTTTACGACTATGGGTGAAACCCCCTCGTGTCACCTTTCAAACTGAAAGCTATTGAGCAGTATTTTCTTGTGGTACTGTTTCTTATACTGTACAAGGTGATTCTAACTTTTACATCTGTGGATGGAATCATAGTCTTCAAGATGTTGAGCAGTAGATCGGCGTTTCATAATTACTTAAGAGAAAAATTGAGACTTGGTCAAGTTTTAGGACTTGCGTACTCTTTGGAGAGAAAATGTAACTACTTAGTGGCATTGATAATTTTGTTAAGTTGCATATACCAGAGAGATGGTGGAATACAGATGGAAAAAATACGACCCAGTGAACATCCTCAATATGGAGCTAGCTGAGTTCGATTTGACAAAGACAGAGTACAGCATTAAGGATGTAGAATACGTAGCAGGTATTGACCGTTGTGAATTCATTAAAAGTACCATGGGGGTCGGGTGGCCTAGCGCTTACCGTATTGCACATCGGGTCCACAGGTCCGGGGTCGCCGGAGTTCCCCTAGGGTATTCCCGGAGTTACGATATTCTATACCTGACTCCTATAATATGTATCTTGTTCCAAAACAATCATATTATGTCCAAAACCAATTTCAAAATACCTGGAGTGTTACCTTAAAGTTCTGGTTATTAACACCTACCCTATCTGCTTGAAAAGAATTATCCTCCTCCTCTATGATCTTTAAGATAGCAGATAAGATGGCGTTTTTTTAATCGAATCAAATGAAAGTTTTCGTTACTTTCCTCCCTGTAATTTATAAATTAGAGAACAACAGGCAATTTCTGTACAATTGTTTCTTTACTTGACCAATATCACTCCCAACGGGGTATTACCACGTTATAATTATCCAATAAGGGTGTACCACGTAACTAGTTCTGAACAATAAATTTCGCGGTACATACTTGTTTCGTTCATAGGTAAATACCGTGACATGATCGTAACTTTCACATTCAGCCGGCGTATCGGTTACTACCTCATTAACTTCTATGTACCGTGCATCATTATGGTCATCATGAGCTGGATCGTGTTCTGGATGGACCGAGACTGCATCGGCGACCGAATAGCGCTCGGCATTACGACCGTGCTCACGATCGTGTTTTTACTCGGCTCTAGTAACAGCACCATGCCTCGAGTCAGCTACCCGAAGGCTATCGACTGGTATCTGATGACTTCGTTCATCTTCGTGTTCACGACGCTGATCATGTGTCTGTTGATTTTCCGATTTGATCGACAGCTCGGCAAACAACTGCGTCCTCCGAGGTCGGTCAGCGGAGAGCCGCCTGCTGAGGCAACTTCAATGCAGGTACTTTTGGAACTTTTTAGATCAAAGTGCTGTCACAATGAAATAACGAGATTGTCAGGGGGGGGGGGGTGGGGAGGAAAGGAATCATTTTTGCCCCACCCCTTTCCCCTACTCCGTATTTTTTTGCACCACTCGCAGTTTCGTTCCCTTGCTTTTGGAAACGATCACCTGCTACGCAGGCTAATGCAAGCCCCTGGTAGTCCCATTCTCGGCATAAGATATTCTTGGGAAGAAATGAGAAATCTTAGTCCAAGAATCCAGGTAGCCAAACCTTGTCTCCGGGGTTACCCTATCTTCGTACCAGTCTTCCCGCCTGCTTAGAGCGACAGGCTGCCCTGGAGACGAGCGCAAGCTTACGTTTCTTTTCCTTAGGTTCGTCTCGCTCCGAGTTCAGCTTTGAGGGCTCGCCTTGTGGGCAAGCCTAACCTGGGATTAGTGGAATTTAATGTTACTGTAACTGTATGTTATTCTCATATTTCTAGTTACCCGAGGAGCCGGAGATTCGTAGCCGCGTTTCCTACTACGTGGCAGATTCCCAGGGAGCCGTGTATCCCATAGTTCGTAGCGTGTCCGGTCTCAAAAAAAGAAGTATCCTGAAGCCGCGCTTTCCCAAGAAGCTTTGCGGGCTACCAGTACAAGTCACAAAGGAAAACTTGGGAATGGTGATAAACAATTTTTGCAGAATTCTGTTTCCTTCAGCGTTTATGTTGTTTAATCTTGTGTACTGGGTGGTTATAGCCAATTAGGATTTGTCAACGGCAACTGCAGATCTTTAGAAAGAAATACATGATAGTAGATGTCAAGTTTGGAAGAACTATGAGGACATTAATCAATCACTCAGTGATACAAGATAGTGGCCGGAAGAATATTCCATTTTCTCCAACAGGAATGGAGGCTATAGCCTTCCACACAGTCGGTGATTGGTTTAAAATCGTGTTGCTATAACTCGATAGAAACACAGAACTAGCCACGAGCTGTTGACGTAATGATGGCGCGAGCAAAGATTTTTTTTCCAACATTTTTATTACAATAAATATACCTATAACATGTTAATTAGAGCAAGCGAGCAAAGATAATTTACATTTTGATGAACAAAGCAAGCAAGTTGTTTTCTTTTTTCGTTGCAGAATTTTCTAGAAGAAATAGTAAACATGTTCTCCGTGTTTATATCGAGTTAAAACGTCGTGGAAGTTCGGGAGAACTCGAAAACGCTGTGGAAACACTCGCCTCTTGGCTCGTGTTCCCACAGCATTGCTTGTTCTCCCAAACTTCCATTCGTGTTCCTGAAACTCGATAGAAATACAGCACATTTTTTTCTATTTCCTTCCTCATGTTTAGCTAAGTCCAAATGTGACAAGTTCAGTAAACGCAAGTCGTAATCTAAACAGGAAGTAGTAAAAGAAAGGGTTCAAGTCAATACATTGCAGTAAGCAAGCAAAGTGTGCAAGACAACCCCCTTAACTAATGTGCAGTATAGTATGTTGGGGTGGGAAAGTTGAAAGATTTCCTTCCCCTCCCCCTTCCCCATTTTACACCTACCCCCTCGGAAAATTTTCCCTCGCCCCAACCCTCCACAATTACGAAATCCAAAATGGCGCCTTAACATGATAATGTGCAGCACTCGCGCGCCAATAAACGCCTGCACTGCGGTCTAGAAACTCGTAGACGTACCCGAAATAGCCTTTTTCGCGATTAACTTTTGTCATTTGCATTACAATATAATCTAACATGTATGCGAGGCAATTTCAGGCAATTTTGTAGTTTCTGCCCTAAATTGCCTCGCATGACTACTGCCTTCTTTATCGTAAGCTGTGTTGTTATACAAACATGTGAAAATATTTTAATCTTCAAATCTACATTCCAGAAAAAAAAAAACTTCGTTATGCCAAAATATACCATGGAATGCTATTTTGTACATAGAGAGAAATGGAAATAATGCCTGGAAAAATATAGAATAGAATTAGTAGAATTAAGTTGTGTATTGCCCTTTTCAATGCTAGCTAGAGAAAATCTGAGATCATACATTTTCATTGCTAATCTGGCTATGCTAAAACTAGATCCAACGAGAGTGCGATTTGTGTTAAATTGTACATGCTCTGTCGCGTTTTGTCACATTCTGACACAATCTCAAGTGGATTTTACCAAAGCCGCTCTTATAATGAGCGAGGAAGGCTGGGTACGAGACCGTAAACTAGTTGCTAGAGGTCATTGTAAATTTCAAAGTCCATTTCTGATGTCAGCATTTGTAGAAAAATGTGCTTCTTGTGTATATGCGAATGTCTGTGTATCTTATTCTACCTGTTGAAATGTACATGTAAGTTGTTATCTAGAATTGATAAATAAAGAGAACAAGCATAATAACCAGCCTGATTATTGTATAGTTATTGGTGTACCCCAATCGATGAATGCGAACCAAATTCACGCTTCACCCAAAGATACTCAGGGAATGTCATATTACAGGTCATGGGGTATAGGATGAAGTAGTTTAGTCATATGAATCAAATCCCTGTCACAAGCAAAAAATATGGTCCTCTTTTAACTGCTCTGAAGGGCTACTGGGTATAAAATTCAGGCTTCGTACTGTTTTTCGGACTAAACATTCAAGGACTTTTCAAAGACATTCAAGGACACAATCTCAGTTTCTCAAAGATTCCGTTCGCTGAAAAACTACATTACAATGTGACACAGGATGTTAAGGTTTAATGGATACCTAGCAGTTTTGTTCAAGTTAAAGTGTCTTTTATAAATCTTCTTTTCTGAAATTTCGTGATGGCGATTAGGGAAGAAACAAGATCGTTTCCTTTTTGTAGGCAATGCATGCACGCACGTTTTGTCTCCTAATAAGTAGCCAAACGGTCTAACAAATAATTTTAAGGTGTTTCAAGGGCCCAATGAACTCTCACAGCCTTGAATTTTGATGTCAAAATTCAAACCGACTTTCAAGGTGCGTGCAAACCTTGGGAAATTTGCCAAGCTACCTCAGCAGCAAACTTGTAGCCTGTAAGAAATTCCAGACCCTTTCCAGATCTGTGCTCTGGAAAACTATTGAAATGATTTTTTTTTTACAATTTTTCCAGACTTAAGCTTCCAGATTCGGTATGTATGAACTTCAAGGCTTTTCAAGAACTTAAATTTTGATTTTACAATTCGAGGACATTCAAAGTGTGGACAAACCCTGACAAATTTGCCCAGCTCAAGCAACAGCAAATTTGTGGCTTAGGTAAGGTTCCAGTCTTTTTCAAGATTTGAACTTCATTTTCGACTTCGACTAGGTCTGCAAACTATACAGATGATTTTGATAATTTTTCCAGACTTCAAGATTCAGTTTGTAGAAATATGTGTTTCAAAGCACGACTCAGTTTTTGAGAAAAAATCCTGAAAACCAACACCAGAGTTCGTTTTATTATAGAAGAAACCCACATCTTTCACTTTAGTGAAACAATTTGCGCGTCCACACGAGCTGACAACTCAGCGATGGCTCGTTTGAGGCGAGGTGGATCCGTGAAGAAATATATAAACAGTTCTCTTTCCATGAGCTTCAAACTATCCGAGCGGAGGACCTGAAGACGAAAAAGTGAGCCGTCAAAATCAGCGATCGAGCGTAAAAACGTGACAACACTTCGGGTTTCTATTGCATTGAAGTGTAAAGCAAAAAAAGCTCAGTTGAAATAAACACGTAAAAAGAAAAAAAACCGCAGTAAACCAAAATAAGGCGGCAAGGTGCGTAAAAAAAATTACTAAATTATTCAAGAATATTTTGCATATCTAGCTTAACCTTTCGGGAACTAGCATGGCTTCTCTTAAATTTCAGACAAACACTAGAACTCCGGCGAAGCAGTTTTGGCGGGAACTGCAGGCGCGCCATACGCTTGACCACTGCGTGGAAATACCAGTTTTGGCGAAAACTCAGTACGAACGCGCTAAACATTTGAACGGCGTAGGCAACGGCAGTTTCGGCTTGAGCTGCAAACATGCTGTTCGTGTGCCACAATGCAAGCAGCGGTAGTTTAGGCGGGAACTGCACACGCGGTAAAATCAACTGAACGATTGAACGGTGTTTGGCGGTAACTGCAAACGTGTCCCAGGTTTGATTACGTAGAAAAGGTAGGGTAGGCCGGCGTTTATCTCTTGGTTTCAATAGTATAAAGCGACAAGGGGTATTTCTAACTTCCCCCTGGATGATATGCTAGTCCATCGCAGGGTTACCCCCTAGCATTACATTTGCCGCTACCCATTTATACACCTGGGTGGAACGAGGCACTGTGAGAGTAAAGTGTCTTTCCCAAGAACACAACACAATGTTCCTGGCCAGGACTCGAACCCGGACCGCTTACTCCGGAGACGAACACACTAACCACGAGGCCACCGTATCTCCGCGTGTTTGATCACGTGGACTACCTTAATTTTATTACGCCCTTACCTTTTTCTTGGCCTCACAGTCTTTTATGATGTCCTTAATTGACTGCTCCAGAGTGGCAAGTAGTTCATTTAACTGACTCAGGCCATCTGCTATCCGCTGTAGAAAAACGTAAGCGAATTTTTGTTACGAGAAGGGATTTCACCCATTCAAACCGTGACAGACTCTATTCTTCACAGCAGCTTCGATTCAACAGTATTTTATAGCTAAGACAAAATCAAACAACATTTTTTTAAAACTAGCCTTTTGAAATTCGCGCGAAGCATTCTCGTACGAGCGATAAAAGTTTCTCGCCCGCTGGCAGAAAATCGACGGAGGGGAGGCTGGTGGGACAAGCGAGGGAATGGCTCGTGGAAATGGGAAGCAGTGTTACCTGAGGACTTAACTGAGGCAGGCCGCCTGTTGTAGCTGATTCTCCGTAAACTGTCTTTACACACTGCTGTAAGTTATTCTCCCTAAAAAACCAAATATTCACAAAATTAAAGAAACTTGCTTCGAGGATATTGTTTTCCCTAATCTACTGAGAAGAATAGTTGCTACAATACACAATACTATGTTGATCATTTCACCCCAATAGAGCAAGGAAGAAAACTTTTTAAACTTTAGAATGTTCAAACCTCGTTTGATTTTGAGTCTGTAGAATGCTAACAATTTTTTGATTGTGACGTTAATATCGAATTCTTTCAGGGCGTGATGCCTATTGCAAACGCCTGACTCTAATACTCATCCTTTTGACGTGTGAAACATGACCTTTAGCCCTCGAGAATACACATGCATGTTCTCCTCAATCCGCACCTGTTCCCGTATTACTTAGAAACATCCTTCCAAAAGGCATTTCTGCAATACGGCATTGTAACTGAATAAGAAAGGTTTCTTCCCAGTTGAATAACACTAACTCAAAATCGCGAAGAAAACGACAACAATAGCAAAAGAACATACAATTGTTTCCAGGCCTCCTCCTGCCTGCTGCCCGAGGAGGCCAAAGACGTAGCGAATGATTCCAGTTGTCCCGCCAGCTTCTGGCTCCATTCTACAAGCTGATTGTAAGCCAGAAAAATCTCCTTCGTCCTGTCCTCCTCCCCCTGGGGTGGGCCTTCGAGCACACGGAACAGTCCTTCCATAAAATGATCTCGACTATCGATAGTCCCGCGAGAGGGCTGGGGAGGGTGAAGAGCATGTTCATCCATAACCGCCTTCAGTAAGAGTTAAGGTTATATCAACAAAAGAACGCGTACAATAATTTCAGTGCAGAAATCTAGTAAACGATACACTTGTTACTCAAGACAGATTCCGTCGGTTGCTCTTTCAGTCAGTCAGTGAGACAGCCAGCCAATCAGTTAGTCAGTCAGTCAGTCAGTCAGTCAGTCAG